TCTCACTTGATATAATCTTAGGTGATGTTCAAAAACCCTCCTCATCCTTTTTTTCTTCAGAGATGTCTGTGGTTGTTATTTTTAAAGATGACAACGTATTTATAGCAGACTTTTATTTTTCAAACACAGCAGAAAAATTTCAGAATAGGAGACTGAAAATCCTAGTGATCCTTGTCTCTGCCTCTACATAGCTAAATAAACTTGACTAAGTTACTTCACCTCTGTGAAATTCAGTTTCTTCCACTGTGATCTGGAAGTAAAATAACACATATCACAGGATTTTCTAAAAGCTAAGTGAAGGGTGCAGTATCGAGGATGCTTTGTAAGCTATAAAATACTTTTTATAGCTATAAAGTATGAGATAATTATAACACAAATGCTAGAACTTGGGGCTGTTTTTCCTCTATATAACCCTTTAAAGTTTTCAAAGCCGTTGTGGCTTTATAAATTATAGGATAACCTACTCTTAATCATAACATTTGCAAAGTCTTTTTTCTTTTATATAAATATAGTAGATATTCAATGAATGTTTGGATGGAAAGATACATGGTTAGTGGGCAGAGGAGAGGGTGATAGCATATAAGGTAAACAGGAGCATTCATGAAGTTTTAATTTTTCTTTTTTTAACGTTTTAAAACATACTCCTTGATATGAACTATGTTCTCATGAATGTGGAGGAGCAGAAGTCCTCCAATAGAGGCCTGAATCGATGCACTGACCCAGGAAGCTTGGCTCTTCTCTGTTTGTTTTTTCATCGAACGAAAATTTATTGAGCAACTAGCATCAGCTGAGCATTGCGCAAGTCTCAGAGAAAGCACATTTGGATCTGTCACTGTTTGTGTGTGTGCCTGTTTCTTTAGCTGCTCACTTTTCCCTTTAAACATTCTGCGGAATGCTGGATAAATTGACACTTGTACAGTCATACGAAGGGGCCCAGCCGTGCCGAGGGCTGCAGTTGTCAAAATCTCATCCTGCGAATTGCTTCCTGATGTTACATGTGCAGCCCATGATTCCTCTCCGGATTGTGAAATGTGTTTGTTCAGGGAGGGGAAGGCCCCTCCTGCCCTTTGTTGCCTTCCCTGTGTTGGGCCTTATTTCTTGGGGTGGCCCCTCCGAGCTCTGTGCGATCAAAGGGAAAATGCGGTGTGTCAGCTCTCAGGTTCGAACGGTCCCACAGCAGACGCCAGCTCTGTGCCGCTGTGGGATCGAGTGGACCTTCGGCAGAGTGGAGAGAACCTCTCTGAGGGGAAATTGGACACGACCTGCCTCTGGCCAGTGCCACTTGGGTCTGGCCCAAGGTTATCGAAGTCTCCACAGAGCAATGAGGATGGAGGATCTCGGGAGGTGGTTTTTCCTACCCTCTGTTTCCAGTGAGGAGACGTTTCACCTGGTATTTTAGAGAAACACTGTGTGTATTGTGTACTTAGAATGGCTGAGAGAGGACCTGCATTTGCAACCCATTTCCCTCATTGTGAGTGTGAGGGAACAGTTCAGACTTGCAGGTAGTTTGTGGCAGAAATAGGGCCAAAACTCAGATTTTGTAACTCAAAACCCACGGTGCCTACTTATGTTCCATGGTAATGATACTTCCAAATGTATTTCCTTTATATAAGACAATTCTAACATCATAAAGTGAGGGAGTACAGAAAGAACATGAGCTTTGGAATCAGACAGGACAAGGTCAAATCCTGGTCAAATCCTGCTTATCGTATCTGTGTGGCCTTGGACAAGTTACTCGGATTCTTTGCTTCTGCATCTGTTGAAGGGGAGAAAGGATATTTATGTTTTATGGATGTTGTTAAGATTAAAAGAGATAAGGTTGAAAGTATTTAGTATGGTACCCAGCCTATCTTAGATGCCTGATATGTGTGCTAGAAAGGACCAAATAATACACTGTCTTTTATAGGAGAGTTAAGATGAGGTTGATGATGATGATGATGGTGGTAGTGATGGTGACAAGGGTGCTGAGGATCAGGGTGGCCGTGGTGGCAGCAGCCTAGCTACCATTAATCACTTTCATTTTTAAACATTTCCTTAGTACCAGAACAACTGTATGATATGATCTATTTTCTTCATTTTATACAAGGCCTTGCCATTTCAATTTCTTTCTTTTTTTTTTTTTTTTTACTTTTTCTTGGTCTCATTATAACACTCTAGATCTAAGATGGTAAGCCTTGATATATCAACAGTGAATTTACTAACAGTGAATTTACCAACAGTGAATTTCTTAGAGAAGAAATGGAAAAATGTTCCCCAACGTTTGTTTTCTCCAATTTTTAACCCCCTTCGTGACTGAATGACCCTGTAAGGTACATGTTGCTGTGTTCATATACACAGAACCAATAAATGTGGGTCAGCGTCAGAAATTCCTTGAACTTATATGTAAACACTGTGGACCAGCAGAGGCCAACCTTTTTTCTGTTGAGGATTTCAGGACAAATATTTTGAGATACACAGATAAGTAAACATCAGCCACCTGGCCATTCTGTTTTTATTTTGGAGAAAAACCCCAAAATCAGCAGTTTGGAATCAGACGGTCTGGAATGTGACTCCCAGCCCTGCTTCCTGAGCTGTGTGACCCTGGTTAAGTTAATTTCTAAGCTTCAGTTTCCTCATGTGTAAAATGAGGATGATAAGAGTACCAGTCACATTTGGTGGCTATAAGAATAAAATGAGCCGTACAGAAAGAGAATGTGCAAAAAGAGTGCAGTTAAAATGAGCTCATATCTAGAGTTTCTTCCCATCCAAAGCCTTTGTACCCTCGATTAGGACTGGCATGTTTAGAGTCCACCGAGAAAAATATAAATGCTCCAAGTATATTAAAAAAAAGGGAATTTAATGTTCTGAAACGCTGGCCCAGATTATGGAGGAGCTAAGAGGTGCTGCATTTCCTGCACAGAGGCCAGAGCTCAGCAGAATGGAAGCTGCTACTCCTCCTGGTGGGAGGCAGAAAGGGAGGAGGTGGTGTTACCTGAGTCCAGGGGTGGTAGATACCGGTGGGCAGCCCTGTCGGCCGAGCTGAAGATGTAGAGGAGAAGCAGCCACCAGACACAGGGAAAGGGGTGAGGGAGACATACTCTGGTTTTGTACTTCCCTCAACTCCCAGATCTCCGGGCCGACCTTGGCTGACTTGGCATCTGAGAGCAGCAGTCTGCAGAAGCAGCCCCGTGATGCTGAGCGGAGCAGGGGACTTGCTGAAAGCCAGGAGGCCGAGGGCTCTTACAGGCTCAGTCCCAGACCTGACTACTATGATAACCAACAGAGAAAGTTTGAAAGAGTCCTACTTCCCCCTGCTGCTGGGCCTCTGAACAATAGCAGAGGTTCACAGATCACTGTGCTTGGGAAGGTAGAATTTGGAAAAAGCATTGGAAAAACCTAGAAGGTTGTCAGAATAAAGAAGCCTTTCTGGGGCCCCTAGATCCTCTTCTCTGGAAAGGTCTGCTTGCTGAGCAGCCGGTGCCTTCAGTGTCTGGGGATCTGTGACTAGAGAAGACACTCCCAGCCCACCTTTCGCCTACAGAACTCAGCATAGACCCATCTCCATAGTAAAACACCTCAAACCCCTACAGGTGAGCTCAGCTGTCCCTGTGTCTCTTCCTATCACATTCCAGTCTCTGCATTGAAATGCTCCAGGTATTGCTCTCTCTGTCCCTCCGGACTGTGAGCATCCAGGACAGGGACCTGTCTTCTTTACCTGTGCATCCCCAAGTATTCTTAATTTCACCTTCTGCTCTGTGCTGGCAACCATGGGGGGACCTAGGCTGCTAGGCACATGCATAGGGCAGTGCCAGCTACTGCATCGCCCATGCAGCTTTTATAATAAAAGGAGAGGCAGAAGATGTATGACTTTTTAAAATTACTGGCATCTTGTATGCTAGGGATGTCGAAGGGTACATGAGAACCTTGAACAGGGAGACCCATCTTCCCTAGAGGAGAGAGGGAGCCTTCCCAGGAAGTAATAGTAGAACTAGGAATAAATGGGAGTTTAGCTGGGCAGAGAGGTTGGGGAATGATACTTCAGGTGAAGAGGAGAGAGGGCAAAGGTCTTAAAGTGGAAAGAGCATTGAGTACTGGGGATGGAGAGCACGGGTGGCATTGCATGGAGCTGATGAGCTCGGTGGGACCTGTTCTCTCCTGTGTCACAATCTGTATCTTTCCGGAGCACCTTTCACATCCTGCCTTTCTCATAGGTGGGAATGTTTGCATGATTCTGGCTCCCACTTCACACCTACTTCTATTTTTGTGTATGGAAGGTATCTGTTGACTATTTGACTAAATGACAGACAGTTCTAGGCTCTAACAGTCCCTTTAGATTTCTTGTCATATTGGTAACTTTGCTTGCCCAGCAAGGATCCATGAGTACAGTCTATATGGAGAAGAGGCCTGACGTTATACCATTTATGGGAAACTCTCTGCTCTCCGGCATTGTTTTAACAGAAGCTCACTGTCCACCACCCTACCATTACCGTGCTAGTTCTGTAGTAAGTAGCAGTAAGATGGTGACTTAGAGATGCCCAAAATTTTCAGTCATCAAACCATGCTGTCACCAACTTTGAGATTGAAATGTGATGTATTAAACCAGATTCTGTTCGGCTCTTCTGCTTACTAGCAGTGTGACCTTGGACAGGTCGTTCAACCTTTGTGCATGCCTTTGTTTCTCCACTAACGTGTGGCATTTACAATATCAACCTGACGAGATTAATATAAAATGAGACTGTACCTGTAAATATGCAGTACAGCTTGGTATTGATTGAGCACAAAATCACTGATTGCTGCTGCCTTTATTATTCTAATTTCACTTACTATTATTAAAACAGGTTTCCTAGTTTTCCAAGGCCAGCCAGTATTCATTCTCCTTTGATTTCTACTTGAGATGGAAGTACATGTGGAACGCTTGCTTTCTCAGTGTTGTTTGGCTATAAAAAAGAGTGTTTTATGCTTGTTTTTAGCTATCCTTTTAAATTTTCTTTAAAGAGGATTTTGTTTTTGCTTTCTCACAGGAGTGATTGGAACAGATGTGAGGGGGCACGGCCTCGCCTGTGAGGGACAGCCGGTGACGTCACGGTTGGCTGTCATCTGTGGAACATCTTCTTGTCACATGGGGGTGAGTCTGCCAGGCCGGTGCGGGGCGGGCGCTGCATTCCGGGAGGGTAGCCCAGAGGAGATCGGGGCTGCTGGCACTTTTGCTCCCTCCACCTTCCCTTCCTGCTCCCCGAGCTTTGTCCAGCTGGAAGCCCAGCTCCCTCTCCAACAGCCTTGAGTAGATTTGCCAGATCTTTTTTTCTGGGGGCCAAGTTCTTAAAAGTGTGAAAAAGGTTGAGTCTGCCTTTAACACCCGCTCTGTCCGAGAGCTGAGGAGGAGTGAGGGGTGAAATTGGATCCAAGGGCGGCAGCGCCTCCCTCCCAGACTGATCTTTCCCTAATGGGAGGCTGAGTCTTCCTCGCTCGGGGTGTCTGTTTTCCTTGGCCGCAGAGCTCCCTCTCAATCAATATAAATCTATCTTTCTGGGGGCAGCCCGATGATCTATAGAATCAGGCTGCATATCATGACTTCAAAAGAACACTGATAAGCAATTTTCACTTTGTTAATTTTTCTCCATGAATTAGTGGAAAGGCTTTCTCCAAGATTGCAGTTAAAATTTAGTGCCTGCACTAAAATTTATATCTTTTTTAAATGCATGAGTCTGAAAGCATTCCATTTCGATAAGTACCCATTTCTACCATATTTTTATTTAAAAGTCATTACTCTGTTAAACTCAGATGGACGACTCCTTGGATTTTTCCCAGATGGGCAAAAAAGTGGGGAGAGTGGGGGAGGAGGAGGAAGGCAAATGGGGGAGGAGCGGGGAGAAGAGCCCGGGTTATGGTGGGGTGCAGTCCAGGGCAGAAGCTCTGAACTGTGAAGGGAATCATGGGCGATGAGAAATTGTTTAATAACCGAGACTCCATGAGACCTTTTTCTTTGTGAAATACTTTGGTTGAGTACATAGTGATACATTTACTTATTTACTGATCCCTACTCTTGTGTCTAGGACTTTGCTAAACCTTGTAGATAAAAGGATGATGCCACAGCGTCTCTTATTGATGAGATAGAATTGTGCCAGGTATTACAAGGCAAGGCCCCAATATATATAGATTCAGATGAGCTTGTGACACTGAGCATGTGTTATGTGCCGGGTATTATGCAAGTTACCCTCACATGAGGCTTCCCATTTCACAGAGATGGTGGAGCCGACCTGATTGGCTTCCAATCCTAGTTCTTCCACTTCCTAGTATGGGCCCTTGGGCAAGGCACTTAACCCCTGTGGGACTCTGATTCTTTCCCTGCAAAACGTGGCAAGTTGCAGGAAGTGTCTCGCAGTATTGTGAGGGTGAAGTGGGATTATGTGTGATTGACATAAAGCAAGCACTTCACAGGGGTTAGCTTATGATCACTAGCTCTCATGTTGTTGCGCAGAAAGGAGACAGTGACTGTTCTGCCTGGGCAGGGTCCGGGGCTAGGTACTTCTTCTTGAGTGGACATTTGCGTTATGCTGGACTTTAAGGACATAGATTTCCTTGACCTTTGCCTACCACAAAAAGAAAACAAAGTTTTCCTTTTATTTGTTTCTCTGGGCAAACTGGTAAATGGATCTTCTTTAACTGAGTTTAAGAATCCCAGCCTCTCTTTCCCCTCAGCAGCCCTATTGTAAATGAAGCCTGGCTGTCACTGGAGGGAGAGATCTACAGAGGCCTGAGGCTGCCTCAAGCAGGGGTGCTCACCAGGGGCAGCCAGCCCTTCTTTTCCTTGACGGGAGTCTATACTTGCTAAGCTTGTCTTCATTGAACACAGACTTGAACCTGTTTAAATCACCCACCACTTTCAGTGGGACACATCTAATCTGGTTTCTCTGGTGAAGTCTGAATTTCAGGCATTTTACCCTGCTCAATTTAGACTTCTGAGCAGAATCCTGTCTAAATGATTATGAGTGACTCTGTGACATACCCATTTCTCATCTTCTTGTCTCTTAGTTGGGACAATACTTTTTCTAAATTACTCATTTTACAAATTAGGTAACTCAAGTATAGAAAAGCCCAGGAATTTCCCTGGCTGGTGTGGCTCAGTTGGTTGGTCATCACACTGCAAAGTGAAATGTTACCAGTTCAGTTCCCCGTCAGGGCACATGCCTGGGTTGCAGACCTGGTCCTCAGTTGGGGCACATGCAAGAGGCAACCGATCAATAATTCTTTCCCTCTCTTTCTCCTTCCCTCACTCTCTCTCTGAATAAATAAATAAAATATTTTTTTAATTAAAAAAATGTAATTTTCCCAGGGTCACAAAGCTATAGGCTGGAGGGGAGAACTCAGATGTAGCTCCAACTGATTCCCCAGTGCATCCTCCTTGATGCCTGACTGCGCTGTGCAAGATGCTAATGTGTTGTAGATGAATGGAGACAGCATGGGCTTCGGAGCCCATCTTCACCCTGATGTGGGTTTGAACATCTGCTCGTGCACTTTTTGAGCCCTGTGAGCCACAGTGAGTTACTTAACTTCTCTGAGCCTTAGATCTCTCGTCCACTACGTTGGAAGTGATGGTGCTAGTCTCACAGGGTTGCTGGACAATATGAATTATATACATGCATACCTAGTACATCATAGATACTCAGAAATGATGGGATTCTTATTGCACTTTATGAGTGATATAAAAGGCTCACACCAAGCAACTGTTTGGGCTTTGCTGAGTTTGATGGGCAGCTGCAGTTGGTTGCAATGAATGAGGGCCATAAAATGCCAGCTTATTATGGTCGTGTTATGCTGGAAATAAAGTCCCTACTCCCTCCCCACTTTATACTTAGGAGTGGGAAGGGACCTTCTGGGCCAAGGGGATTAATCATCAGCTTTAATGTTATGTGGTGAGGGCGAGACTGTGGTCATGCTGGCATCAGAAAGCGCCTTTGATCTCTCTCAGGTGCTGGGCGCCCAGCGAGCCAGCAACAACAACACCTTTGTGAGGTCTAGGAGAGGTGCAGGTCTGAGGAAATACTCCCAGGGAAACTCAAGGACCCCTTTTGTTGTGGTTCTGGCAAATAAAACCACCAACTGTCAGAAAAAATTCACCAAACAGAACACAGGGAACTGAGGGGACTGTGGGCTTTTGAAAAAAGTGGTTTTCAACCTGGTCTGAAGAATTCTCTTTCTTCCTTTCTGCTCACTGCTGATGTTTCTAATTCAGTAGGTTGGTTGAAACAAACCCCCGCCGGAACGTTTTGTGCTATACAGGTCGCCTCTTTCTAGATCACCAGAATGAATGAGTGAATGAATGAACGCGTGTTCAAGTAAGCGAATAGTGGTAATATTTCGAAGCTCCCTACTGCGAGGCTCCTGTTACTTCCAGGAATCTGCAGAATAAGCCTGAGGTTGAACATAACACTTACTAATCAGGCCTTTGATATTTTAGAAGATGTAAGTGTGGGCTGCACATTTATCTTTCTTGTAGATGATTTAATTAACAACAGGAAAAAAATACTCTTTTTTTTTTAACTCCATGAAAGCAGAGCAGCTTGTTCGAACTTAATTACTACCAAGTTACCAAAACCCAAGATAATATGCAGCTGGGGTTAGCCAGAGGTTGAAAAGTCATGGGGTCAGGGAGAGCTGATCCTTGCCATTGCACCAGCACCCCTTTCTTGAGCTGTCAAGTCAGGTTGTAACTTGGCAACTTGTCTTCCTGTTAGCATCTCAATGGGGAGCAACCTGGGGGTGGGGGTGGGGGAAGTATTGTAGAGGTAAAGTTTGCCTGGAACAATAGCTGGGGAGAGCCAGGAATTACATCTGCATCTGAATTGCTCAGAACTGAAATTCCCCCAGAGTCTTAGATGAATGTAGGGAGAGTCTTCTCTGTCACTCGGTGGGCCTGGAATCTCAAGGATATAGCCCATGTCTGGGCCCCACCACTTACTGTGTGCCTTTAGGTATAAGATACGTCATTTTCCTTTGTGCCTCAGTTTCTTCCTATTGTGGGCAGTAGCATTTACCTAAAAAGTTGGGGATTAAATGAAATCATCTTTGTAAACAGCTTGGTGCTGTACCTAGCAAAATAGATCTGATACGGTGTTATTACTAAAAATGATTCATTAAGGCTAGCCTGCTCCATGTGGTAATGGATTGGAATTAGGCACACCAGGATGAACTCATGTTTAGCTTTATTTAGATAAAGATGGATACATATGGAAACACTTATAGACATGTGTAGCTATGCAGGTTAGTAAACATGTTCCTGGCCCCGACAACCGAGAGGGCCTGGGAGTAAGGACACCCCGGCAGCTAGTTGTTACAAGCACACTTGGGGCCCACATCTTGGTTCCTAATACTATCCCCTAATGAAAAGAACCATGGAGAAATGGTTGATTCTAGAACTGGAGCAGGAAATAGACAAGATGAACCTGGAGCATCTTACAGCCCAGAAAATGAGGAAGTGCTTAAAAAAGAAAATAGTGACAGAGTAACAGGAGCCCACTGAGGGAGCTCCCAGAGGCAAGAACTGGAACAATTTGGGCAGCAAAATAAAATAGTGTTGGATCATAACCCAAAATAAGTCATAAACAAATGACTGAGTAAATAAATCAATGGAGAGAAGAGACAAATCTCCCTATGCACAAGAATTCCAAGTAACTTATGTAGCTAGTTCCCCTGAAGGAGGTAGAGCATATCTACCCACTCCTCCAGTGTGAGCTGTACACAGTGACTTCCTTCCAAAGCGGACGTTGTGGAAAGGAAAGGAGGGTAGTAATTTTACAGTGGAGAAATCTGATAACTGCGACCTTTGCCAGGTGATCAAGGTCAGTGTCAACAGTGGCAAGTCGTGTTGATAATAAGTACTGTTGATGTGATGTGATGAGAATGGTACTTTTTGTTTGTTATCTTCCCCACCCCCCCAAACCTATTGCCACAGTCTAGTCATAAGGAAAGCTCCAGACAAATCCCATTAGAGGAGGATTCTACTAAATACCTGACCAGCCCTCCTCCATACTGTCAAGGTCATCAAAACACAAAGAAAGTCTGAGGAATTAATCACAACCAAGAGGAGCCTAAAGAGATGCGACAGGTAGGTGGAATGTAGTATTG